CATGTCCCAAATCACTGTGTTCCAGGTGGGCAAGAAGAGAGTGACGGGCACCGTATGCCCATACATTTATTAATGACAATAAGAGTGACGTGGTCACACCCAGTTACCCAAGTATCAGAGCTGTGGTCAGTAGGCTGGAGGTCAAATGACAACATTTTTGCATCCCCAAACCCAACTCTGCTTGGGAGCTCTTCCTTGGTGGCATTCCTGGCTCCAGACCACTTTCAGGTCCTAGCTGTCCCTTCTAGCTGTCCCCGGTAGTCCCGGCTGGGTGAGGCTGCCCCATTTCCGGGCTCCTCCTCCCCCAGGCTTGTTCTAAACGGTAATCTCCCTCTGTTTCCTCTTTTAGACTGGACCCCACTCCACACACGAGAGCTCCCGAAGGCCACGGCCCAGCAGCATGGGACAGAAAGCGAGCGTGCACGGGTTGACGCTGTACAGGCCCTAGGAGGGAGGACAGAGCCGGAGGGAACAGGAGGCCAGGCCTCCTCACCTGTGCCCACACAGGTGCCTTTTTTCTGAGTGCTCTGCCTAGGTGTGTGTGTGAAACTGGGTGACGCTGTTTGGCCAGCCAGGAGCCCCGGGCTGCCTCTGTGCTGACAGAACCAGGCAGTGTGGTCAGGGCCACCGGCGGAAGCATGACTGAGATCATGGGCGGAACGAATCTGACACATGACACCATGGAAAGGGTGGCAGGGGAAGTCGTCATGAGGACTGAGGCCTGGGCACCCCAGCAAATTCTGCTAGGCCTGTGATGGAGAGCAGACACAGGCCTCCGGTTGGAGGGGCCCCAAAGGCCTGACCCTTGGATCCTTGTGTCCCACTCTGAGTGAACACAGGCCACAGGTGGGGCAGAGCCAGGCCCACAGGGATTCCTCGGATGGGGTCCAGAGACCCACCCCGAAACAGTCCCTGCGGCTCTCCTGCCCCAGCCCTCGCAGGGCCTCTCTCAGCGCCAGGGAGTTGGGCCCTCAGCTCATTTCCCTTCCTGATTGCGATCAGCCAGCCTGCCCAGGAGGCGGGGCTGAGAAGACTGACAAAACGCCCCAAGGTGAAATCACTTTCCTAAGGGCTGGGCAGTCTGTGGCCTGTAGGGGAGAGGTGGGAGAGAGTTCCTGTGGTTTCACTTGATCCAGCTTCTTTATTATTATTATTATTATTAAAGATTTTACTTATTTTTAGAGAGAGGGGGAGGGAGGGAGAAAAACATCGACATGTGAGAGACCTGGAATTGAACCGGCAACCTTTCTGTTTCAGGCTGGCACTCAATCCACCAAGCCACACCAGCCAGGACAGACACATCTTTAGAGTCAAGGCCAACCTCCAAGGAGACTTCGGGGGGAGGCTGAGGCTCCCCTGGTCCCCTGAGAGGTCGCAGGAGAGCTGTGGAGGATACCCAGTTTTCCTCCACAGAGGCAGCCGCAGCTCCGTCTAAATGACATTTGCTTGGTGGGATGGGACTCTGTTCCTCACACGGGAACAGGTGCCGGGTTGCACTCAGGAGGCCTCTCCAGTGTGGCTGCGCCCACCATCTCCTGCCTCCCTTGCTCTGGCCCTCCTTGCTCTCTTCCCTGCCCATGAGGGCTTCTCCCATAACTCCCCGCCCAACCTTAGGGACCTTGCATTCTACACTCTGGCCCAGCGAAGAGCCCAGGATTCTCCCAGCCTCCTTGTGCTCTGACCCCAGGCTGCCAGCCCTGCAAGGTCATCCCCAGGCAGTCAGCTCACAGACTCCCAACCACGCCACCCAAATGCGCCTCTAAGCCCACCTCCCCAAACCCTCAGGGGCTGACTTTGGCTATTTCACTGGGAACACAGAAGCCACTGTCCCCTCCTGCCACCAAACCTGTGGACCCAACCCACTGCACCTTCCCCTCCAGGTGGACTGGGCCCACTCAGGCAGCCTTTGCCTGAGCTTTGCTCAGGTGAGCAGGCAACAGCTGATGGCAGGAACCCCCCCTGTGCATGTGCCCCTCAGGCCCCACTGTGCTGGCCCCCTTTCCAGCTATCTCACGCATTCCCAGCTCTCCTCCATCAGAGAGATACTCAAGCTCCCTCTTTCTGGCTCCCGAATCCTCTAGTGGCCCTGCCTCTCTCCTTCCCTTCAAAATAAAACTTCTTCAAAGAGCCTTCTACCTTCTCTGTCCCCCTCACTCACTGCTCAGTCCACTGCCAGGGCTTCTGCCTGCGCCACACACTAACACTGCTCCCTGGGAGGCTCCAGTGGCCTTCTGTCAATAACCCCAGGGCCCGTATCGGAACCTCACCCTCCTGCTTCCCTGCATCGCTCCCACTCCCACTTCCAAGGTGCTGTGGAGGTGGGTGCTCAGGCAGACCTGCTTGCAGTCAGTCCTGGTGGCATTGCTGCCTGGCTGCATGAACTCAGCCTCCCTGAGTCTCAGTTTTCTCATCTTTAAAATGGGGATAATAATAGTACCTGCCTCGTAGACTCATTAGGAGGATTAAATGGGTTAACCCATGAAAAGAACTTAGTGCCTGGCATTTACTAAGTGCTGCTTGGTAGAAGTTATCTGTTAAGAGTCTTAACTTTCATCCAGATCGTTCCATCCCCATGAGAATCAACTTAGTTCAGCCTTCTTATCATCTGTGGTCCAGAGAACTCCATCGTCCATCACTGGCCGCCCTGCTGCCTTGCCTTTTCCCAGCCTTTCTCCCACAGTAGCCAGACTCACCTGTGGGCCTCCTGGACTCAAACCTTTAAGGGACTAAACCCCTCCCTGGCTGAAAACTCCACAGTGCTCACAAGGCTCCTAGCCTGAAGCCTAAACTTCCTTCTCCTACAAATGTTAAGATCTACAATAGCACTACGCAGGATTTTGCTTTGCAAATATACAACTGAAGTCAGGGCTTGTAAAGAAACATTTGCAGGAATGTTCGGCTTTAATCATTTTAATATTCACTGTGCTCTAGGAATTCCCTCAAAGAGCCCATTTACACACACACACACAAAAGATGTTTTTTCTCTATAAGAAATCACATTTTGGGGTGCACAGCTGCCCCAAACTTTTATATAGAAGATAACATCAAGCCACGGGTGAGTAGTCAAGAAGCCCCGTGTCTCCGGGGCTCGGACCCCCACCGCCCGAGCTGAGCTTTTCAATCAGGATGTCTTCAGTGTCACGCGAACCACCTGAGGACCCTGCTGAAATGCACTTTTTGATTCAGAAAGCCTGGGGTGTGCCCTGAGGGTCTTCACTTATAACCAGCCCCCAGGCGATGCTGAAACTGCTGTCCAAGGTCCCAGCTGAGGGCAGCATGGCTTTCGGTCTGTCTCTCCTCACAGGGCTGTGAGTTTCTTAAGTAGGCAGGCCTGTCTGTTTCGCTCACAGTGCCTGCACACAACAAGTGCTTAATAAAAGTGTGTTCAGTGACTTGTGCCTTCAAGGGGACCCAGTCCTAAGGTTCCCCACGTGTGACGTCATTTCACTCGTGCCTTTTAGACACCACACTTACACCGTGAGGATGCTCTGGGCCCAGACTGTGGAGCCCAGGGTCTGGCCCATGGCTGAGTTGAGCCAGAAGCTGGGTGCTTGGCCATAGGCATTATCCTCACAGACCTTCCCTGTGTCACGGCCTCTTCACTTGGCTCTTCTGCAGCCACATCCTGACCCTTGTCTTAACCAGATCAGCTGCTGCGCAGAAGCCTAAAACAGCCACGTTCTCCTGCCTCAGTTTACCCTGCCCTCATCTCCCCACGCTGGTCGTGTCATGACCCTGGCTTTATCATCCCACCTCTCTTCTTCCCCCTCCCAGGCCCAGTCACCTCTGAGAACTTTCCCACACCCTGCCACACTCATTCCTTTACCAAAACCTCTGCCCTGGGCCTGGGTCAGGGCCTGACAGCCCCAAGTGACAAGGGCCCTCACCCACCTGCTTTTCCTGCTTCCTCTCTGGCTGCAGCTTCTCTGGTCCTTGGTAGCCTCCTGCAGGATCGGTCCCTGCTCTCACCCCTGCTCTGCAAACCCCTCCCACCAGGCCTGCACCTGCCAAATCCAGGCTCCAGCACAGACCGGGATCCAGACCCCGGGGATACCACTCTCTCCTCTGTTCCCCCGCTCCCAACACCGAGGCGCTGCCCTCCCCTCTTCCCTTCCCTCACCCTCAGACCTTGCCAATCCTACCATCTAAACCTCCCCCGCCAGCCCCTTCCTCCTGTGACAGTTTCTTCAAGAATCCCTACCCTCAGGTCCCTGAGCCCGGCTCCTGTGTGCCACCCGAGGGGCTGCCCGGCACCTGCAGCCAGCCCGCCACCAGGGGCTAAGACCCCAACCACGCAGGGCAGAGTTGGCCTGTGCTGTTATCAGGCCAAAAAAAGAATGGCATCTGGTGCCTTGGTTCCATCTGCCACCCACTAAGAACAGAAAGTATCGAGGAGAAGCTTCCCAACACCCACGAGGCAAACCACTGAGACCTTTAACCCCAGTTCCTCAGTGTTGGGAGGGGTGACAAGAGGCATGCTTCTCAGCGGATGCGCTCACATGGGGACGCTTAGCCATGGGCCCAGCTGCATGGACCCCGTCTGTTCCAGCGGGCCTTCACCTGGCCCCCCAGGCAGGACCAGGCCGTGCCCGGTGGCGTGGACAACAGCGGGTCAGGGCTGTCCAGGGCATGGCGGGGCCAGGTCTCACTGAGCAGGAGGCCTGAGGGAGCCGAGAGTCAGATGGCCCCTCACCTGTTAGAAAAGTCCTCTCCACTGGCCCCACTCTGCCCAGTGGCCAGCCAACCTCTCAGCCCTTTTGGAAGATGAGGTGGAACATGTTCAGTAATTTTTTCCCAAGTTTCGTTGATCTCGGGTACTACAAAGTGATGAATAAGTCTGTGGTTTGCTCTGGAGGTTCCGTGTGAGATAAGGATTCTTCTGACGCCCGCCCCCTTCACCATCGTTGGCGCACTGTCACTGTGCATAAAAGCCTGCCTCGAACACTGCAGAACACCACAGAGGACCCGCCCGAGAGAGAACGCGTCCTGCCAGCCCAAAGATGAGCAGTCTCCCTGTCCTGGCCTTTCTGCTCCTGCTTGCACACTGCACGTCTCCAGCTCAGGGGCAGCCTTTACCCATCGACTTCCAAACACTGCTCAAGGAAATAAAGGACCTCCTCAACCAGCCAGCTGTGCTTCCCGAAGTGAGTAGCTGGCATAAGGCTGGCACGGGGCAGGGGCGGGCTGGCCAGTGCTCGGGCCGACAGGACTCATAGGCTCTCTCTCTCTCTGTCCCTCACAGGGCGACTTGGACTTCGATGACAAATTCATCCTGTTGGTAAGAACACAGCCTTGCACTTGGGCGCACCTCCCTGCACTGGGCCCCAATCCACCTCCTGCCTGGGTGACCTCAGACATGTCAACACTTTGCCTAACCTGTAAATAGGGTGAAGAGCACCTACCTCAGGGGTCGTTATGCGAATTAAATGGCACAATGCATATGAAATTCCAAGAACAGTGTCTAGTGCTTCACAGGTGTTCAATCATTCCCCAGCTATGGCTATAATATGAAAATGTTGTTTTAATTCCAAAGTTAAAAGGTAGCTCAAGGTAGGCAGTATCGAAGGGCTTCAGCTCAGTTTTCAGGGGGCAGCCTCTAGATGGACAGACTGAGATTTCCCCCATGAACATGCCTGCTTCCCTCCTTTCCCTTAAAAAGCTTAATATGTTTTCCACCCTGACCAGTCCTGGGCATGATCATTTTGTTATTTTTCCTGTTCCTGTCAGCTTCAGGGATGTTCTCATCTTTGTGTGTGTGGCATTTCTTGGGTCAAACAAAAGGCTGAATCTCTGCCGAGGGTGTTGGCTCTTTGTATTTCCCCTCTTTCAGGCACCCACAGTTCACATCACTTTCCTCCGCATTCCCGGGAGCCCTAATTCAGTCAAGGCATTACCCTTGCTGGCTCCAAGAAATTCCTTTGGCCAGCCCTTTGTCTTTTGTAGTTTCTTTTGAAAAATGTTTTTTTTTCCAAGTGCACAAAGATCTGCCTGGGCCCTTTCTGCAGCTGGCACGGAGCCAGGGGCACTGTGGGAGGGACGTAGGGCTCCCTGAGCTGTGCCCTCTGAGGGCATAACCTGAGCAAGAAGGGGGCAAGGGGGGATTGTCCAAGGATGTCCCTGAAAGAAGTCTTGGAAAACTGTGAGGAAGGACATTCCCCAACGTTCCCCCTCACGTGGATTCTTTGTCCCCTTAGAATAAAACCTTTCTGAAGGCAAACCTGGAGGAATTCCTGAATGCTGCCAAGAACTTTAAGGACAGGGCAGAGAAAATCAAGAAAATTCTTGTGGTATGTGAAGCTGTCGCGGGTTTGGGGACCCCTGCCTTGGCCCTGCCCTTCCTCTGGGGAAGACGACGGCAGGGCTTGCTCTAAGTGTCTGCTCTGGTCTCTCCCCGCAGGCATTCCGGCCAGTCATGCCCACCTCCACTTCCACGGTAAGCTGCCCCCAAGATGCCTCTGCAGGCAGTGCCATCAGCCATGACCTGACCCCCAGCCTGCCCTCTGCCTTGCAGCCCAGCTTCATCTGACACCACCTTTCTCGTTTTTTCACAGGAAGACCCAATCTCTATCAACACGAATGACTGGGACGATTTCAGGAGGAAGTTAAAGAAATTTGTGGATTCCCTTGAGAAGTTTATCAATGCCAAAAATGTCAGTTCGACACCCAGCCCCATCTCCGTGCCTTTCTAACCATAGGGACTTGGGGGGTCTGCAGCAGCAACTCTGAGCTCTGAGGCACCTCTCACACCATCCAGGACTGGGAGGACTTTAGTTTCTCCTGTGAAGTCAGATGAATTGTTAATTACCTAATTTCTGAAATGTGCGGCCCCCATTTGGCCTTTTGTGATTATCTTCTCATTTTTATCCTATTGACGCTATTTATTTATGTATTTATTTATTATTTTGTGAAGTGTATTTATTTATCACCTTGTGAAATGTATTTATTTTAGCAGAGGAGCTCTGTTCTTTCCTTCTGAACAAGACTAAAGAAAGGGACTTGGGGGCATGTTCATTTGTACCTAGTGTTCGAAACCAGTTTCTATTCATCTGTGAAAATAAACCACACTGTGAACAACTGCTTTGTTGCTTGCGTCTCAGTTTGACTGAGGTCTTAGCGACTCTCTTACCTGACCATTTAGCCACCTCCCGCATCCTCTCCCCATCCCATCCCACCTTCAGGCTTTACTGCTACCAGATGGGGCCCGAGGCCCGGGGCCCACACCATGCTAATCTGTGTTTTCCTGGGGAGCCAGTTTTAGAAAACGCAGATCTGACCAGGTTGGTCTCATTCTTAATTTTCCAGTCCTCAGAGCCTGTGGACTTGGTCCTTATCCACTAGGAAAATATAAAAAGGCCTGCTTCCACATGTGCATCTCTTTCTTTACTCCCCCAGCTACCGATTCCCTCCATGCTCCAGGCGCTGTGGCTTCCTAAATGAACCGCACACCTGTTTCCTATCTCGAACCCTTTACCCACAATGTCACCTCCACTGCTCACACCCTGATCCTGACTGGCACAGCGAGTTCCTACCTCAGAGACCAACTCAAACCCTGCCCAAACTACTCCAGCCTGGATGGCCCCACATTCCTTTCATGACTTCAAGCTCACACATTCGGCAACCATTGGCTGAGCACTTGTATGCCAGGTCCTGCACTGAATGCTGGGGATAAGGCAGTGAACTAGATGGATGGAAGCGGTCCGGTGAGGTTGCTCTAGGTTGAGTGGTCTGGGAAGGGCTTCCTGAGGAGGTGACTTATAGGGTGAAACCTGAATGACAAGAAAGTGCCAACCATGTGGCAATCAGGGAGGACAGAGCTCTGGACAGAGGGAACAACAGTTAGTGCAAAGACCCAGAGAGTGAAATGGGCCGAGAGCCTTCATGGAACAAAGGAAGACCTGTGGTGGGAGGGGATGCCCGCAGGTAGCCCGCAGCCCTCCTTCAGCCTCTCCCTTCCCCACTCAGACCCAAGCGCTGTGTTAGTGACTGATGACGGCAGGAGGTGGGGGTCAGTGGTCAGGTCAGACACACAGCTGGTATGGGAAGAGCAGAGAGCGTGCGAGAATCAGCAAAGCCAGGACCCAAGGCGGGAGTGGGGATGACAGTGGAGGTGATGTGCTTGAGAGGGGACTGGGCCTCTTCACATGTCCTGGGGGCTCTCGCTGCCCTTCTTACAAAGCAGTCCGGTCTACTCCAGGTTGGACTGGGATGAAGGTGGGCCTTGTCCACTCACTGCAAAGCTCAGAAGCTGCCCGGGGCCAGCACAGCCCTGGGCCAGGGCCCAGAACCAAGTGGTGCTCAGTCCCCAGTCAGGCTGGGGAAAGTCTACATCTTGGTCAGCCACCTGTAGGGAGAGGCCTAACGACTCCCTGACCCAGTGGGTGCTCGCATCTCCCCTGCAGGTCTGTCAGTTTTCTGTCTTCGAGCCTGCCCACAGTCCTTAGCGCCTGGTTCGTAAGCCCGGTTGCCACACGGGGGCAGCAAAGCCCCGTGGTAAGTCTGGCCATCCCAAGGCCAAAGTTCCCTCCGCCCGAATCAATCTTTAGCAGAAAAGCAGACCGCCTCAACTAGGCATTTTATTTTTTACTTTAGTTGTAAAAATATTCTAGTTTCATTGAGAAGGGAGTAGGAAAGAACATATATGCTCTTTTATTGAAAAACTTGGAAAAATGAAAAACAGAGCAAAGAGAAATTGCCAGGAAGGCAAGTGCCCACGGAGAGGAGAACGGAGAGGAGAACGGAGAGGCAACGCCCACCTCGCACCACCGTGCGGGCCCTCCTACTCCTGGAAAGGCTCTGCTCCCCCGACCCTGTCCTCGAATCCACATGTGATTCGGTTCAGCAAACACGCTGAGGACCCTCCGTGGCTTACCCAGGCTGGGGACGGGGGCCCCTTGGCCTGTCCAGTGGCCCAGCACACGGTGTGTGTGGGTCGGGGGTGGTTATTACAGACAAAGGAGGCTGCGTGGCCGTGGATCTTGTCAGAGGTGCTTCCCACAGGAGGTGGAGCCCAGGAGCAGAGTTCCTTGGGCAGAGAGAGAGGTGCAGGGAAGGATGTGAACACCAGATGGCACTGGGGGCAAGGGAGTGGAGGTCTAAGAGTTGCGCGTAAGCGGGTGGGGAGGGGGGACACTAGCAGAGAGATGCTGGAGGAAAGAGGGGCCAGTAGAGCAGAACAGGACCTCTGGGCCCATGGCGGGAGCGCGGGAGGCAGAGGTGGCGTGGCCGAGTGCAGGGTGGAGTGAGTTGTCACAGGGGCAGGGGCAGGGGCCTCCGTCTCCCCCTTGGAAACCTCAGGCCAGGCAAAGATGGATCAGGCAAAGGTGCTGCTGCTCTGCTGGACTGGGGAGGGACTCCAGGAATCCCCTCAATGACTCGATGAAGTCCACTGTTACCCCCATTTCACATACAAAGAAACTGAGGCACAAAGAAATTAAGGGAGTCTAACTCTAGAGACTGAATCCTCAAGCCACAGTGCTTTGGCCAGTGCCCGCTGAGGCACTGGAGCCTTTTAAGTCTGGCCCAGGGCCCACCTGGCGTCTCCCCCTTGATTAGATCCAGGCCTCTGAGGTACCTGCTGGCTCCACAGACTCCTGGCTCCAGCCCCAGGGACAAGCAGCCCAGCCACGGTGCCTCAGCTCCGTCCTCCACTCACCAAACCCCACACATTTACGGTCAAACTCCTCTACATGCCATCCATGCTCCTGCCCAGCATCGTCCCTGTGCACACACTGGGGCTTAGATCCGCCCTTGGCTGCCGTGTGTGCCTCCATGCCCACACTTCATGGAGCTTCTGAGAAAGGGGCCAGGGCGCAGAGCCATCACCTGCCTTGCCTCCCTCCTATGTAGCTCCTCAAAGACCCCAGGCTCAACTTCCCCCTCCAGCCTCAGCTCCCACTGTGCTGCACCTCCCCCTGACCCCATTCCTGCACTCCCTGCTCCTCGGGGTCTATGGAATCCTAGCCTGAGGCCTCTCACCTCTTTAGACAGGCACCCCCCACGCTGGCTGCTCCAGGGACTTCTTTCTGGAGACACTGGTGCAGCATCTTTGCTCAGCCCTGCCCTGGAGGGCACGTGGTCTGTGCGGGGGAGCAACCAGGGGCAGCCAGGGATGGAACCATCAGTGAAGATGTGCGCTCTGAGGGGGTACTCGGGGATGCCCCCTTCCATGGGAGGGCAGGCACGGCTCCCATCAGGGCAGGCTCACAGGGCATAGCCACACAGCACAGAGCTGTAGGAGCACCCAGCAGTGGGCTGGTGGGCTATGGGCTCAGAGCTCCAGGAGTGAGGGCCCACACAGGTGACGGGGATGGGTGTTCTTCCCTCCTCCTGCCACAGACTCTGACCTGAACCTGTGGGCCAGGCCGGGCCTTCCTGAGCACCGGTAATAACACAATGGACTGCCGCTGCTGCCCCTCAGGGGGGCTGTGAGCCTTGGGCCAGGGCCCACCCCGCATCAGTGGGTGACTCCTTGCTCTCCTCAGGCTGAGGGCTGGACTCGCTGGCTACTGGTTCCTACAAACCTGGGCCTGCCTCTTTCTAGTCAGGATAGGAGTCCCCACTCCTGGTATTCTCAGCTCTTTCCAGGAAAAGCCACGCACGTGACTGAGTCATATCCCAGTCAGCCAGCCCCTGACCTTGCACATCCAGGCTGCTTGGCAGGGCTCTCTTCCTGGGGCTGGCTGTGGGGAGGTGTGGGGCACTGGGGAAGGATCTGCACAGGGAGCCCCATCAGGGAAGCCTAATCCACCCCCCACCTCCAGGCCCCAGAGAGTGGTCCAGGCTCCAGCAATCACTCCCCTCTCTTCTAGGCAGGGAAACTGAGGCTGGGGATGGGGGGTGTGGAATACAGCACCCTGTCAGCCAAAGCGGAAAGCATCCTCCCCTGTGGCCCAGAGCTCCCTAACCTGCAAAGCCACTTCCTTAGGGAGACGAGCCAACAGAGGCTCGCAGGTGGGAGTCTCAGCCCAGGTGTGAGAGGAATAGCCAAGCTTGAAGGTAGACCTAGCACCCCCAATACTGCATTCATCACAAAGGGCCACACAGGAGCACACCCCTGCTGGGACGTGGCTGAGAGCGTGGAATAGGGAGCACGTGTTAGGGGGAGAGAGTTATGAGTTGGTTGTACTAGGGCTGGAAGGAGACCTCTCAAGGACCCCCTCCAGCTGCCCCAGAGACACTTTGTGGGTCACCTCCCTGCCCAAACCCCTAATTCATTGTCATCTTTATCACTCCTGCTAGCCCTCAGCCTGAGTGGTAGAGGGAGACTGTTACCCCCGGAAGGGCTGGGAGCCTCCGGGGGCGGTGCAGGAAGGTGGTGGGAGCTCTGCCCAGGAACAGAGGTACCGTAAATAACAGGGCACAGAGGTGGCCTCAGGGCTCAAGGCCAGGGCCCTCTGGGACCTGAAGAACCAGAAGCCAGAGACGTGCCTACCAACGGTGCCCCAGGGAGAGTTCCAGGGAGCTTGGCACCTCAGGAAGGCCTGAAGGAAGCTTGTTCCAGAACCACCCTTCCTGCCCACAGTGGAAAACCCACATCTGCAACCTTAATTCTGGTCCATCAGGTCCAGAAGGAGGCAGGGGTGGCCACTGAGCACCCCAGGCTCCCATCCAGCAGCTTGGCCTGTACCCCAGTCCGACAGAGAGGGCAGGGAGGAGCACCCTTAGCACTCCAGGCTATAAAGTCTCCTGG